TTTGTGCCCAGAGGTGGAGAGGTGAGGGGTGGCCACTGCCAGGGGCAGGTCCCTCTTCAGGTGCCCATGCGGGATGGTATCCGAAGGCAGTCTGGCCCTGAGCTCCCAGAGGGCTTCAGATGCCCACATGCATGGTTGGATTTCAGCTCCCTGGGGACGGTCACCCCTCACCTGTCCCAGGGGTGCTGACTCTGCACCCCATTTGCAGATGCGCAGCACCAGGAGGGTATCTGTGTGGCCCGTTGCCTTCGTGGGCGGCCTGCGCTATGAGGCCCCACGGGTGAACAGCGCGGGGAAGGTGGTCGGCTGGAAGACGGTGTTCGACCCCCACCGCCCGTTTGCAATAGACATGGCTGGATTTGCAGTCAACCTGAGGCTTATCCTCCAGCGGAACCAGGCCTACTTCAAGCTGCGCGGCGTGAAGGGAGGGTACCAGGAAAGCAGCCTCCTTCGAGAACTCGTCACCCTCAACGACCTGGAGCCCAAGGCAGCCAACTGCACCAAGGTGAGACCTCTGCAGGACGCTCTGTGTGCGAGCTTCAGAATCTGTCCAGACCCTCCCTACCCGCTGAGGAAGGAAACAGGCCTCAAAACAGCTTTGCCTTTCTGAAAGCTTCCAGTTTGTCACTGGAAGGCAGGCAGAGAGATGGCGAGGGGCAGCCCGTAGGGAGTCAGACAGGACTGCCACCTCTCCTTCGGAACAGCTGTGCTCCACTCCCTCCCGCACAAGTGCACATGCGCACGTGCACATATACATGTGCATGTGTAACACACACACATGTGGACACAAGCAGATGTGCATGCACATGCTCACTTGGGAAACCTTAAGACTTGTCTACATCCTGTAGTTCTTAACTTATTGCCAACAGATCTTTTGAAAGCATCTCATGCATTCCAGGAATAAAGAACACTTGAGAAATTCCAGATGGCACAGAGAGGGGGCAGGAGAAATATTTGCAGGGTGTGGGAGGGAGCAGGGCAGGGGCGGGGTGAGGCCAGGGGCCTGTGCCCCATTCTGTTCTGTGTCTCTGAACACACAGATCCTGGTCTGGCACACACGGACAGAGAAGCCAGTGCTGGTGAATGAGGGAAAGAAGGGCTTCACAGACCCCTCGGTAGAGATCTGAGCCCGGGACACAGGTACGGGAAGGCATGGGGCGGGGCAGGCGGGACAACCAATTTAAAGGGGGCATAAATCCCTGGATGCGTTTCCTTTCGGTCTTTCATTGTGGGAGGCCTGGGCAGACGTGCGCAGAGTGAAGAGGCTTGACCAAAGTCCCTTCCTATTGTTCCGCCTGAAAGCTGGCACAACTGAGACCTTTTGCACTGGACCCCTGGGAAGGCATCGCCTTCCAAACACCTCACAGCAGCTTGGCAGTGCTTTTGGTATTCTGGCCGTGGTGCCCACGCCACCGCATGGGACTGCTGTCATGACCCCGGCTCACCTGGGTCTCTCC